CGACATGGTACTTGAGGCAAGTGGGGGATGTAGGTGGTCTGCATAGTCACGTGCCACGATTGTATCGCAATGCCTTCGAGGCATGTTTTATCGCGCGACACCCAAGATGCATCAGTGAGTACTTTTAATCTGAATCCACTCATCCTCCGGGATCAATGTCTGAGACTTTAGGGGACGAAGCTCTAGCTCCGCAGAAGCTACCGTAAATAGCAAATGAAGTGATCGTAGGTCTCGTCAGCATCGTTCCCCACGCAAATATGCTTGTCGTTGAACCTGACCCGCATGCTGAGAACGCTGGGCAGACGCAGGAACATAACCATCAAAAGCGGCGCATGAAAAGTACCTCATCCACTACCTGCCATGCGTCGGGGGAGGGATTAGCGCGAGAGCCAGCAATGCATCTGATGCAGCGATGATTTTCAGAAGATCCACGAGTCCAAAATCAGATGTGCGGTAAGCGAGATCGTGAAGGTCGAGACAGGGTTCGATTTTCAAACCCAGGCTTTGGTTAGAGTATCGCGGTCGGCTGCATCTGGTCCACTTTGTGACCAATCTGGTGTCCTATGGCTTGTGCGTTGTTCTACAGGAGTGCCAGCGGAAGAGTGTCGAGGAAGGGGACCTGGGAATAGCACCCGCAAATGACGAGACAGAGTGCGCAAATGCCAATGCGGGATAGGATGGTATTGTAGACTTGAAAGACCTGGTGGGTGATATGCTAGGATTCGGACGATGCGCACTTGGATGTCCATTTCTTCCCGCTACTGCGATGGTGACGCATCGTCCCATATCCCTTTGGCTTTGGCTTCTTCTTGGGTTCTGGGTCAACTCCTCTCACACATTTCTCCATGCGACGCCCAAGGTGCACCGGTCAGAGAGTACTTCAATTCTGGACTCACTCGGCTCCCTGTTACGTTCCCCATCAATCATCCTCCGAGGACAGGCTTTAAGGTCTAAGCTTAAGAAATGAAGCTCTGGAAGTGCAGAAGCTGCTGGGAATGACAACAAAACAAGCACCTTGCATGGAACCAGGACACTGGGCAATCACCTTCCGTGGATGGACTGAGGCGTAAGCTAAGCCGAGACACTGCAAGACCAACGTGCACTACGGCAGAGGAGTCGAGGGGTCGCGCGAGTGTCTCAAGTTCGGCAATGACAGCAGTGACGTTGGCAAAGTTCAAGAGGAGAGCAGCGGACGAGCAGGTACAAAGCTGGCCGGACACGATGTTGAACAGTCCAGGGCCGATGTCCTTATGGCAGGGAACTCTGCGGGCGAAGAGCCATGTGTTTGCGCAAGTCAGAGCGGTAAAGGAGACGGAGAGGAATACTGAAGAAGGAGGGGAAAGGGACGACAAGAAACCTCAAATCACAAAGAAAGTGACTCGGGAATGTGACGAGATGAGATAGACGTTACACTATGGTCTGATAACATATTGACAAGAGATGGAAAGCTACGTATCATGTAGTGCCAGAATAACACAGCTGAGTGGTCTGCACGAGGTGTGTCCGGTGTGGCTTATACAAGTATAAGCAACTCCATGTACATGGAACTTCTAGGTGGGTATGACATTTGATCTCGAGCCCTATGGATGAGATATAGGTGTTTAGATACTACGCGACGCAATTTTGAACCAACATTGTGGGGTAGATAGATGAAAAAGTGATAGCGAGAAGCCGGGAGTTATTGAATAGGGCATGGGTAGAGGATACGGGTCAATAAGAACGTAAGCCTCGAGCCTGAGACTCAGGTTCTGCGACATCGAGGATTACAGGAGACCTAGTACAAGCGCACGAGTCATTCGAGGAGAAACCGAAATGAAAATTCCATCAATGGGAAGCATATCAACTTACAAGAGGTGGCCACTGGCATGCAATGCTGGAAGCCTTGATGAGAGCAGTGAGCCAGAAGCCTGCGGATATAACATTCATCGCCCCGCTAGAAGACGGGACAGTACAGCGAAGGGTACAGGTGACTTTCTGGAGGGCAGGGAACTGCTTTCCGGAGAGGATGCGGTCCATCGCGGCAAAGGAGTCATTGTGGACGCTATTCAATGCGTCGTCGACATTGACAGGTGTTTCCAGATGGAATAGCCACGATCCAATGGCAACTTCAACTATGTTGGGCAGAGATCCGCAAGACAGTAAAATGGCCGCCTTGGCGATGTCTTCGAGATAGCCTGCCAACGCCAGGACACGCAAGTTGACAGCGGGCGTGAGATCGAGTGAGGCTGAGGGAACACCGTCAACGAACACTGGATAACGTCACCTCCACCACGTACCTTTGTGAATAAACAAAACCTCGAGGGACAAGAGCGACTCGGCGGACACAGCGAGCAGCTCTGGATGCCTCTCCATGTCATATCCGTGGCAGGTGAGATGGCGAAGGTGCGCACCGATCGACACAAGGAAGTCAAACATGTCGTCGCTGCCAACTAGATCGCCAGCGTCGAGTCGGAGAGAGCCTGGCACCCGCACCGCACACGCAACATGGCAGCCTTTCTTGAATCTCACTCCGCTGTATTTGAGGGGAAATAGGTGGGGCAGCGCACGCACAAGCCGCCCAAACACAACCGCAGACGGGAACGTCACATTGAAGAGTTCGAGCTTGATCGCAGACCGAAATGTGAGACTAACAAGGAGGAACACCTGTGCGTGCAATTG